AGTAATAAAAGGCTATAAGGAGTTAAATTTTTTTCTAAATATTTAAATAAAAAAAAAAAAAAAAAAAAAAATCATGTCAAACAAAAAAAGTAGTATTTAATCAAAAAAAAAAGTTTCAATCAAAAAATTTGACTTCAATCAAAAAAAAAATCGTAAAAAATTTTTTTGTTTCGTAAAAAATTATTTTTATGATTAAAAATGATTTTTTTTGTTTGACTTTTTTTTTTTTGACTGAATAATTGTGAAACAAATCTAACTCCATAGAGCTACTGCTAGTATGTAACATATTCAGTCATCTGGGTGAACATGAGACTTAGATATCAACTTCCAGCATTTACCTTCGTTCTGGTTGAAACTTTTTGTTCTGTATTATCATTTTTCTTGACCTGATAGATCTGATTGGCTTGTGTCTTCATGTACTTACTAAATATATTCTGTTTTGTGAATCCAGCGCAAAATTGAAGAACACTGGACAACCGAAGCATGTGCAGAAAAAAGGAGCAATTGGTGTCTCTCTGTGAATTTACTCTGAATATTTGGGCTCATTGTGAATGTGTAACATCCACAATGTTACTGGAGGGCTAAAAGACTTTTTGTGGTTTTATGCCGTTGCAGCTTAATTTCAAGCCACACGATCAAAATGGAAAGAAGAGAGTAAATAAAAAAGGTTGTTTCCTGTGCAAAACTCAAATAGGGTCCTCCACTCAGTGTGGCATAAAGCACAGACTGCGATATCTGAATCAATCTAACATTTTCTATCACTTTGTAGAATAATTTTCTTTTATTTCATGGTGCGGTCTTATTCTCAGACAATATACATTTGTATTTTGACTAGAATTTCTGCGCACAAGCCACAACCACCATCGTCCTTGTCACTAGGATATTAGTCTGAAATATAGATCAGCCCCACATATGTGTTATGTAACCTTTGAACAACCGCAAACTTCACTCTCTGCCTCCTTATTGAGACATATGGAGCAGCAAGCATGCTTGGGGCCAGATGCTGATGATATGTCAGCTTTAAGGACCCAGGCTATGGATTACTCTGCTGGAACGTCTGTAGTCCTCTTATTCAGCTCTGGCAAAGAAGGTCAATTCTGCCCTGCGAAATAATTATTGTTTTGAATAATCAGTTTAATTAAACCACAGTGATCACTCTTTTGGAAAAGTTGATGTAAGTTATATTTGATCAACTGTATACGAGATCTAAAGAGAGAACCTGTTCAAAAATAATTTAAAAGCAATGTGATTTGTCACAAAATAAGACAAACTTGATTTAGCTCCAAATATCTACATTGTCATGTTTTCCAGTTCCATAGTATTTTAAAGCATAATCAAGTAACTATGCTACATTCAGTTCAATCTGGAGAGACTCAGGTGGAGAGAGAAAAGCGATTAAAAGAGTTTAATGACAAAGATAAACATGAAAATAAACACAAAGTTCTTTGCCGTTCAGGCCCCGGCCGGGGACGTCGAGCTGGACTTCGATAAGCTCGATGAACATTCCTGATGCAGCATAGGAATGTAGACCCCCCCGGGGCCTGTGCTGGTGGCGGAGGTCGGAGGAAGAAGAGGCCTGAGAGCCTGGAGCTGAAGGTGGAGATGGGGCGGCGGTGGGTTGATCGTGGCTGGTGAGCAGAGGAGGCTAAGGGTGAAGATCCTTTTGAACTGGAGCCCAGACGATGATTGGCTGGAGCGAGGCTTGGACCGGCGCCGATAGGTCCGGGTTGCAGAGAGGGAAGCACTGATTGAAGAGCCAGGTGCGCCTAGAGAGTCTTCCAGACTGAACTTCAGTCAAGACTCCATTTCTTATGTAGACACTGCCTCCAGGAAGTCATCACAATATCACTCCTCTATTAACCCTTTAACAACGTGTTTACCAGAGTTTCACTGAGAAGTAGCTCGTTTAATGAGCTCAGCAAATGAGCAGTTCCACCAGATGTTTGCTAATTGCTGCTGGCTAGTCTGAAGGAACTGAGTGGGGGAGTCGAAGGGGAGCGCTGCTCTGTGAAGCAGAGGCGTGGAAGCTTGGAAACTGCAGCTTCGAGGAGGAGATTCATCCACTCACGAGTTTTGGAGAGATGAATGGTTGCCATGGGAGATTCAGGATTTCGCAAACATGCATTAGAGCAGAGGTTCCCAAACTGTGGGGCGTGCCCCTACGGGGGGCGCCGTGCCATTGCAGGGGAGGCGCGGGAAGCCATCTGGATGAAAAAAAAAAAAAAAAAAAGCATGAACGCTGTATGCCCTGGGTTTTTACCTTAGAATGGCCAAGAATAATGACAAACTGTTATTCCTCTGTCAATCTGATAGAGTAGAGGCTTCCACACTTCCCATATCTGTGTCCTCTGCCACTTTTATCAGCAGTTAAAACTGTTTAATCCATTGTAAACATGTCGTAACCTGGTTTTCCGAGCCGCTTTTAAACGCAACATGAGCGCTACGATGCTGGCTGGGTTTATACCTGTGCGGCAGTGAAGGAGACCTGCTACTGCTCTGCAGAGCTACGCAGGTGTGTTAGACTCATGGCAGCAAACCAGCAAAACGCAAAGAACTTTTCACAGTTTTTCCCCCAAACTAACCGACTGAGTTGAGTAGCTGTTTAATGCAGGTAATGTTAGCTAAAAATGACTAGCTAGCTAATTAACAAGTAGCTTGTTAACAAGTACACACACTACTGGTGTTGTTGTCTATGTTCAGCTACGACTTATTTTGCCCCCAAAAAAAGTTGATTCCCCCCGTTGTTCATCTGGAGCTGGGGCAGAGTACAACAGGGAGTCCTCTAAGTATCCACTCCCCCTTCGCTCACACACATCGTTCAACCAGACAGCTACCTGTAAGCCATAAGGGGGGCCCAGAAATAGTTTGGAAACCACTGGGGCGGGGGGCAGGAGAAAAAGTTTGGGAACCACTGCATTAGAGAATCAAAAGAAAAACATTACAACATGATATAAAACTCAAACAAGTTGATTTCACATAAAACTGCCCCTTTAAATTGTACCTGTGGCCAAAGGAACTGCTGAAAAGATTCAGTTCAACTTGTGCCACGTCAGTAAGTGATGACCGATGAAAAGACAACGTTCATTCCTGGTTCTTGTTCCTCTCGATCTCTCCGTGGCATTGCTCTCCCCAAAAGGCTTCACTGCCATTGACTCAGCCTCAACGGATTTCAGCTCTTCCCTCTTTCCCTTCTTACTCTCTCTCGCTCTCGCTGACCTTTTTTAGTGATGAAAGCGCTGATGTGATGAGGCTTTCATGAAAGAAATATTTGGACGGCTCACAAGCTGGAGCCTGTGCTTTGAAGCCCACAATGGTGGGTGCAGTGGCTGATGTTGACAGCAGCCACTGCACCAACTAATGAGGCAGCAGAGACGGCACTTCTTCTAAGTGCTTCTGTGATGCAACTTGGATGGCACCCAGCTAATGCCACCACAGCAACACTGCAAGGATGGCGCCTCTGAACGAACTGATTAGCCCTCCTAGAGAGTCACATCTCCAGCATGGACTTGCGCTCGATTGTCAAACATCGTAATAAATAACTCGACTAGACCGGTGAGCGATTTGTACAATGGTGAGAAATTTTCTCGAGTAATCTTGGTAAATCCCCGCGTGTTTGATTTACAGCTCTGAACATAAAGTTTCACTCTGGATTCCCTCTAAATAAAATATCTGAGGAAGGAAAGTGAAGTTACCGTTGCCTGTTGTTTCGACTTCCTGTAAGCAGTCCTGCTCTGCAGAGCTTGAACAAATTAAACACGGCCTACGGCCATTATAAATGCCAAGTCAGAACTGGAAAAGGGGATGTTTCAACAAAAAAAAAAAAAAAACACCACCCAGAAAACCTGTCCTGTCTGCTAGCTCAGTGAAACTTGTGTATTTAATAATGTGCCAGCCACTGTAAAACTGACATTTCAGTACTGCATGTGGCTTCACATTTTGTTTGAGTTGTTAACTGGTTGGTAACAGATGCTGGAAATCTAATTCACTTAATTAATTGCAATATTTGCTGTAATCAGGGTGCCTGAGGCTTCTGCAACTCAAATTTAACACCTTTTAAGATCTTAAGCCATTTCCACATGTGTAAAGTGAGAGGGTGACGTTAAAACTGGGGACCCAGCAAGCAGCAGCTTATTTGCATAATAGCTCCTTTCTCTTTGTGAAAGGAGCTCAGAACTGACCAGGTGAATTCTCATTATCTACAAATGATTTTACACACAAAAAAATGTAATGAGCATGTTTTGTAAAGCCACAGACCTGTGTTAAATTATTCAAGGAAGCATAATAAGTCCCCTTTAAACCGTGCCTCTTTTCCAAATGACCAAACGTTTTATAGCTTCTAGCTTAAGTTTTAACCTCCCTGAAGGAGATTTATTACATTTGTGCCTAAAGTTGACACAATGTCCTGAGGCCTTAATAAAACGTCTGCAACTCACTCTGGTTAAAATACCACAGGATTACTGGACCGCAGCACTACTTTAGACTGGTGCTGGGTTGGCCAAATCACATCCAGTTTTTTAACTAACATGCTGACTCTGCTGACAACCAAAGAGTCACACTGACACGAGGAAGTTCGTGGAGAAGCACACGCCATCTTTTAGGCTCAACCTTGTCACGAGCCATGAGACGAGCTCCTGTGCTGGTGATAACGGGAGACAGAAATACACAATTGCATATGTCCTCTTCAAAGAAACCAACCCCCACTTCCCAGACTAATGTAACTGGGATCATTGCAGCAGGATTGCATAACCGTGTTTTGTTTAACGTTATTATTGCGTCGCATTCGCCATCATTTATTCATGCTGTCTTTGCTATGTGAATGTCATAGTTCCAGATCTTCAGCACTTCTGGGAGACAATTTTACTGAAATATTTGCTTTGTTTTTCATTATACCATGATGCTACAGATTCTGTAATAACATGTTGACCTTTAATTGTCAATAAAACGTGCATTACACAGTGCCTTATAAAAGTTTTAAGGGCTCTTCATGGTCAGGCTGATGAAAATCTTGTCATTTTGTTCTCAGCCTCATGTCGTCCACCCGTTCTTGTCACAACTCAACAAGCAAATTTTTCACACCAATCTCCATGCATAACTTATCGTGTGATTTTGGCAGCGGGACTGGTTTAGCAAAGAACATTCATGTGTTAGAACGGCCCATTCAAAGTCTAATTCACAATGTTTGGCTAGATGTGAAAACTGATGTCTGAGGACGAAGTACTGCGAGTTCAATCTCAAAAAATAAATTAACAACATTTGGAAATGAGAGTGATGATGATGCTCCAACCAGGTTTGATTTTTCTTTTTAGGCACCCTAAATGAACTCTCATATATAATCTATTGTTTGAAAAATGCCTTTTCAATGTTCTTTGCCTTCCTTGTCCAGCATTTTCCAGCCATAAAGTTAATTTCTTTCAAAATGCACAAACCATTTAATTGTGCATTGCTGACCAAAAACATTCCTGTGTTGATTACTGTTCTGCCACACAGGCCAGCTGGAAAGTTTCCCCGATACGTCTGGCTCACAGAACAGATCAGCAGCCAAATAAAACATTGGTGGCGTGGCAAGGTAAGGACCTGAGAGACCATCCTCAGACTAAAGGGTCAAAGTGTGATTTGACTTGTTAACTTTAAGCCCACAGGTGGCTGGCTTTTAATATGGTCAGCGATTACAAACGCCAGATCATTTAAAACCAGGTGAGAGCATCACCAGAGTCCAGAAAGCTGACTAGAGTTATGAGAGAGACATGGTTGGGCAAACAAATTATTTCTGACATTTTACTTTCTTTTTTTTCTTTGGTATTGTGTTTGCTGGCTCTGTGGGTGTTCTGTAGAGTTATTATGAATCTCTAGTTTTCTTCCCTGTCAGATAGAGCAGCTCTTCCAGTGTGGTCTGAAAGGTAAACAGGACCCGGGGGGAGGGTTGGGACCTCAGGTCTGCACTTACTCTTCACTGTCAAAGTTAAGTGTTGGCTAATGGAGCCTGTCAGAAGCGCTGCAGCCTAAAACCACCTGCCTTGGGAGGCCTTGTGTGCCGGTGTCAACCCACCATTGTAATACCCCCCTAGTCCTGCAGCGAGACTCAATACTGAGCTGTCACACATGATTTATACAATAAGTGGAGAGGAATAAATGCTAGAATTAATCTTAATTAGGCCAGGGTAATCCTAACGGAGTTTTTGCTAGCCGTGCTGCAAGGAGCAGCCTCTGAAATGAAAATGCTGCTGGGTTGAGACGGTCTCTATAGTAGCAGGTCTGCAACAACTTGGACCTCAGGTACGCCTGTAGCAGGTTTTCATTGCTCGAGAAGAAAAACGGGACTGGTTTTCTGTGACTGTCTTCGCAGTTGATGTTGGTGTTTGAATGTTTAATAGGAGATAAAAGGAAAAATGTAGATCCTCTATGAGATATTCTTCATGTATTGGTTAAATCCCAACCAAGATTTAACATAATTCATTTTTGATCATGGCAAAAAGTTTTGAGACTCGACTAGAAAGTTAATTGTGCTGAGGAAAAATGGCAAACTGATACCAGAAAAGGCCAAAGGAGTAACTTAAAAACAAATGTGTTAATACTAATAGGAGTTTTTCAATCAAAGTTTAATAGATGTTTTAAAAATTGGGAGTGAAATCTAAAGTAAATGTTTTTTTTTTTATAATGCTTCAGACTATTGTTTATCTTAAATCAAAATTATCGTCAAAAATAATTCTTCAACAATTATCATACAAAATCCCAGTCTCATTGCCAGATTTTAATCAAAGAGCAATCCAAACCCTGTTGTGTTTTAAGTGTGGGCACAATTAAAAATGTTATCTCAGTAAGTAAAGTTTTAGCAAATTTTCCTCTGATGTTGCTTTCTGCAAACTAAAAGATAAAAGTATGCAAATGGAAGAGGTATATTTTGAGAGTTTGGCCACATTAAAATACAGTTTATCCAAGCAAACACAACAGGATAACATTAGACAGATGTGAAAAAGCTAGGTGAGTGCCACTGTAGCTACCAGGTGATTGCATAATGTGTATGCTAATCGACTAGTTTGTAATTATATCTACTGAAGTTTTGAAGTTATTGATAAGGAAAACTTACAAAACATTAAGCTGTACTTGTCAGAATAAATATTAGGGTTTTAATCATCCCGAAAATGTCTGGTACGGCACACGCTCGCACAAGTACCGAACGAACCAGCAGTGTTTTATGATCAAACTCGTGCAGATTGTTTTCAACTCTGAGCTAAGTGCGCAATACATCATTTAACAGGCGACTTCAACAAGTGACATGAAAACAAAACAAAGAGGACTCTCATTTATCAGTGAATTGTTATTTAGGACATTAAGGTTTCTCATCCAGCAACAGCTTTATGTCAGGATACATACTGAACACACATTTTACTCTGCACTTTACTGAATTACTCACCTGAAACAACATCAAAACGGAATGTAAACATTACTGGCACTGGAGAAAAATCAACTATTATCCAAATCCAGCTGGCTGGAGTACTGTGCTAGTAGGAAACGCTGCACAGCATATGAGATGTAACAACTCACAAGTTGGGGTTTGCCCAATAGAGGTGCCTGTAGGATGAATTCAAGTAAATCTTGTTACACTGTGTTAACTAAATATCGAAACAACACAAAATGATTCAAACTTATTCCATTCTCAAATGTATGCAGGGCCTGGTTTTCTCGTTGCATCCGTTTATCCGTCCGTCTGTCCGTCCATCCGGTTAGTGGCTAAACTTGCATATTCTTTGTTAATAAATAAAATCAATTCTATAATGGGCACTTTTTATCTGTTACTCTTTTAATATTTTACTCTATTCTCTAATCAATAGAAAAGAACCGAAAATGCTATGAACCGTGCCTAAAAAACTAAAGTATGTACCAAACTGCACATGAATTCTCTGGCTTGC